TCGGTCGGACTATCAAGCAGGGCCCGGGGACGCAAAACTACCCCCCGGGCAAGCGGTCTGGACCTCTGGGGCCGCCTGTTGGAGCAAAAACCGTGTCGACGGATGTCAGTGGGCTCATGGGAGTGAAGCAGGCGTCGCCCTTTTCATCGCCGCCGTCGTCGTCGACCAACGCGCGTCGCCCCGTCCATGGCCGCTGCCAGGAGCGCGAAGTATCACGCACCAGGGCTCGCGAGCGCACCGATGCTCTCCTGAGTGTCCCGCCGGGGGGCGTTTGTGTAGCAGTCCAGTTCACTGGGAGGGGGTTGCAAGGACAAGGACCTGCTTGGAGTGGATGTTCACATGCGTGTGAGATATGAGGCCTGCGGGGTTACATGAACATGCATGCCGTGCTCCACATCCCCTTGCATTCTCAGTGCTTACGAAGATTCGCGTTGTCATGTGATCTGGGCCCCATATGTACTTTCATATTTAGGCACTGCGTCTGGAAGCCAGAGTCTGCACTAGTTCTCTCCACTCGCGCTCGCCTCCACGTTTGTTTACACGTCTCTTGTGCACGTGACAGAGCTAAGGCATTCGTTGAATGACACGTTCTGGAAACAAGCGATAAGACGATGTAGGTTGAAGCTATGACGCCACACTGCGATGGAGGCTGATCGGTAGCGCCCATGCTGCAACTGGCGATCGACCCTTCCTACATTGAAGCAAGCTGAACTGGCTAGCGCTTCTCGAGCACGTGTGCACTCGCATCGTGCGCCTTGATAGCTCGGCGACCCATCCAGCAATCCGCGCAGGCAGAGGGAGCACAGCCAGCCCGCGAAGAATGGCCCAAAGTGCGGCTGTGCCTGGCTTGCGGAACAATGTCCCAGCATTGTTGAGACGACGCATCGTCCTCGCTTCAATTGGCTAACTTACAGCTGGTCCCCTGAGTATGCAGACAATGGTCGTGCTTGTCAAGTGTACTTTATCGCATATCCACTGCTTTGGAGCATTGACGGAGAGTGCAGTCGTAGTTGTCCAGTTCAGGGGCCAGGGGTAGAAGCGCAGCTGTCCAGCGCGCGGCAGCGCTCGCAGCGTGCTTACCAGTTGCATATGTCGTCGGACCACCTGGCGGCATGCCTTTGGGCCTGTCCATCAGCTTCAGCACTCGCGTGCCAATGGAGATCCCCTGTCAGCACGGCGTAATGCGTGTCAGCACGTCTGTGCTCTCGCCTTTGTGATTTACAATGTGCTCCAGCAGCGTGCTGGTACGCGGGTAAGCGCTCTTCACCTCTGACGCAATGCTTTGGCACGGCATTCATGCCATGTTGGCGATGGTGGTGGCAGTACGGTTGGCATGCTGGTGGCCCAGGGGTTGGGCTCCAGTGCCCGTGCAGAGGGAGCGCGTGTGTTCGGTGCTGTGCTCGTGTTGCTGTTGGTGCCGATGGTGGTGCACAGCAGGCGTAGCAGACAAGAAGTCGGCCTGCCTGCAGGTGCCCCACAGAGAGTTCTCACCCCGGGGTGGCCCCGGGGACCCACAGAGGCCCACGGCCCCCCACGGGGCCCTCACAGATCGACGAAGCGCGTGCCCCAAGATGTCCGCTGGCAAGATCTGGCGCTGTGCTCGTGAGTATGTTGGTGCCGAGGTTGGTGTAAAGTTTACGGTGTTGGCAGCTGTGCTGCTGCCAGGAGTGTCATGCCGGCCGCCCCGGCACAGAGATCATGGCATCGCCAAGCCTGATCAGGGGGCTGACGGTGGCCTGCGTGCTTCCCGTGCGACCGCGGCAACTGATCGCTGACGTGACCTTCTTGGCAGGCCACCCCTTCTTCTGGAGGTGGACAGGGGGGCTGACCTGGATTGGCCCCACGAAAATCGGTGGTCACGAAGGGGGGATGAAGGCAAATCCACTGAAGATCGTTCCCTGGACCCCTGCCTGGGTCCATCGGGTGCAGTTTGTTCACCCCTGATCCGTTTTTGACGGTCCTGGGGCCCGAGAACGGCCCCCGGAGGCCGAAACGGGCAACCAAAATATCTTCCCGAGCGCCCAGAACCTCGAACCTCTTCGCCCCCTTCCTGTGGGGCGGAGCCAGCGCTGGGCTACCACAGGCCCCCAGCCGGCTCCAGCCCCTCTTTCGGCGGCGAGCGAGGGGGGGAAGCGAGAAGGGGCGAGCCTTCTCAGAAGGCTCGGAAGTCCCCCGGCCTTCTGAGAGGTTCGGGCGATCGCGGGGATGAATTAAGGGGGCGTGGATTAGCGACGGGTCCCGTTTCCATGGGAAATCGCGGATTTCCGCCGCCGAGCGAGGCGGCATTTTGGGGAGGGCATTTCCCCTGGTCCATGGATTTGGCGACCGCGCGCCTAATCCATGGATCGCTAATCCATGTTTGCACGCCCCCGAGAAGTTGTCTGAGCCTTCCCGGAAGACACAAAACACTTCTCGGAAAGCCAGAGGGCTTCTGAGAAGTCCCGCCGCCTTCTGAGAAGGCCTTCTCCTTCTCATTTCCCCCCCTCGCCCGCCGCCGAATATCGGTCAAAGTCGGTCCCCGGACCCCTCCTGCATCCGACGCGGTTTTTCCTCCCGGATCGAGCCAGGGGTCCCGGGGCCCAAAAACGGCCTGCAGAGGCCGAAACCTATGAAGCACCGCCGCGAACCTCGAGCCTCAAAATTCGCACCTCGAAGCCCCCCCCATCGCTCGATGCCGATCCTTATCCCCTCCCCGTTCCCGGGCATCTCCCGCCGGGGGCGTCTGGACAGCCCCTCCCCGGCCAGCCAGGCGCCGTGATGTGAGCAGCGTCCTCGGGCCGCGGAGCACGCCGCCCCAGCGCGAGATTTTCCCGTGCGGCGCAGCCGTGCATCAAGCAGTGGCGAAGCGTCCTGGCTTGCCTGCAGTGGAGGGTTTCCCCGAAGGGCTCAGGCGACCTGTCCTCCTCTCTCCTCCTCCTCTCTCCTCCTCATCCTTCTCCTCCTCCTCCTCCTTCTCCTCCTCCTCCTCCATCTCCTCCTCCCCCTCCCCCTTCTCCACCTCCTCCTACTCCTCCTCCTCCTCCTCCTCCTCCTCCTCCTCCTCCTACTCCTCGGGTCGCCTACGGCCCCGGGGGAAAGCGTGCATCATGGCTTGCCTATAGGCCCACCAAAGAATGTTCTGAGAGCCTTGTGTGGCTTGTGCGAGATGTTCTTCCAACAGTTCTGGCTGAGGCTGCCTGGTGTTGGTTTTAACGCGACGGATTCATGTTTCCAAGAACATCGTTTTATTGCCAAACCTCCCTTGGTTGGTTTCCCTTTTTGGATAGAGCACTGCGGTCCCCACCTCCTCCTCCTTCTCACCCTCCTGCTGCTGCTGCTGCTGCTCCTCCTTCTCCTCATCCCCCTTCCTCCCTCCATTATCCTCCTCCTCCTCCTCCTCCTCCTCCTCCTCCTCCTCCTCCTCCTCCTCCTCGTTTTTCCCAACCCTCCTGTGTTGGGCACTCGCTTTGAATAGAGCACTGCGGTCCCCACCTCCTCCTCCTCCTCATCCTCCTCCATTATCCTCCTCCTCCTCGTGTTTTTCCTCTTCCTCCCTGCCTCGTGACCTCGCCGCCCCCTGTGGGGCTGCGATGTGCGAAACCGTCGCCACTTTCGTGGGCTGGGGAGGGCCAGCGGAAGTACGTCGCACGCAGATCACCACGAGACCTCGCCGTCCCCTGGGGGGCTGGGATCTGCGAAACTGTCGCCATTTTCGTGGGCTCCTGGGAGGGCCAGCGGAGGTACGTTCCACGCAGAGCACCACGAGACCTCGCCGTCCCCTGGGGGGCCTGCGATCTGTGAAATTGTCGCCACTTTCGTGGGCTTGGGAGGGCCAGCGGAGGTACGTCCCACGCAGATCACCACGAGACCTCGTCGTCCCCTGGGGGGCCTGCGATCTGTGAAATTGTCGCCACTTTCGTGGGCTTCTGGGAGGGCCAGCGGAGGTACGTCCCACGCAGATCACCACGAGACCTGGCCGTCCCTTGGGTGGCTGCGATCTGCGAAACTGTCGCCATTTTCGTGGGCTTCTGGGAGGCCAGCGGAGGTACGTCCCACGTAGATCACCGCGAGACCTCGCCGTCCTGGGGCTGGGATCTGCGAAGCTGTCGCCATTTCCGTTGGCTTCTGGGAGGGCCAGCGGAGGTACGTCCCACGCAGATCACCACGAGACCTCACCGTCCCCTGGGGGCCTTCGGTCTGCGAGACCGTCGCCACTTTCATGGGCTCCTGGGAGGCCCAGCAGAGGTACGTCCGACGCAGATCACCACGAGACCTCGCCGTCCCCTGTGGGGCTGCGATGTGCGAAACCGTCGCCACTTTCGTGGACTCCTGGGAGGCCCAGCAGAGGTACGTCCTACGCAGATCACCGCGAGACCTCGCCGTCCCCTGGGGGGCCTGCGATCTGTGAAATTGTCGCCACTTTCGTGGGCTTGGGAGGGCCAGCGGAGGTACGTCCCACGCAGATCACCACGAGACCTCGTCGTCCCCTGTGGGGCTGGGGTCTGCGAAACTGTCGCCATTTTCGTGGGCTTCTGGGAGGGCCAGCGGAGGTACGTCCTACGCAGATCACCGCGAGACCTGGCCGTCCCCTGTGGGGCTGGGATCTGCGAAACTGTCGACACTTTCGTGGGCTTCTGGGAGGGCCAGTTGAGGTACGTCCTACGCAGATCACCGCGAGACCTGGCCGTCCCCTGGGTGGCTGCGATCTGCGAAATTGTCGCCACTTTCGTGGGCTCCTGGGAGGAGCAGCGGAGGGGTGTCCCATGGGGACCACCATGAGACTTCGCTGCGCTATTTGATCGCAGATCGCAGCGGGATGGGGCGCCACAGAGCGCATGGCGCTGTCATTTGCCCATGCCGCATCGACTCTTCAGTTGCGTTTTGTCCGTAGTGCATTCTGGCACTTGCAGCGCTTAGCGCAGGGCGCTGTTCTGCCATAGCGTCCATGGTGCTTCTCTGCAGTGAGAACCTAGCGCGACGCGTTGTTACTCCCACGAATCATGTCTCCACTTCCCGCTCATCAGTATGTTCCCACGCCCCCTCGTGGTCGCCTTCCTGCCAACGATCTGACTCTTAAGAGTGATGCCGCGAATGTGAAATATTTGGCTCTGGCCCTACGTTCTTTGACGAAACGTTCAAGAACACTGCGGATCCTTCAAGGCTTGCTGTGATATTGAGTGGTCCGATGTATAGTCGCCTCATGTATACAGAGGGTTGGGTACGTCCCCGGGCAGTTATTCGAACATTGTTTGGTTATGAGAACATGTCGCGGTAGGCCTGCAGGAATGACAGGACGGTCGCCCCCTCCTCAAGTACAGCCGCGCCGGAGCATTGGACCATTTCATGCGGAGGCAGTAGGGTGCAGAGCATGTTTCGGTCATTGAGAGAACGCCCACGCACGTCGGATGGTACGATCTGACGTGATATGCCGGAGCATGGTGCAGTGTACTAGAACGCGTGCTCTTTGCAGCCGGTCTGGAGTTAAGCGTGACACCGCGGAGCACTTCAGCGCAAGAGTTGATAGCAATGTATTGCCTTCAAATACAAGGTTTAGCGCAACATGGCCCGAGTCACACAGCAGCATACATGGTGCAACCCTGGACAATTCGACGAAGAGATATACATCACAACATCATAGGACAGCGTATGTCATGAAACAGAACGGGGTAGCAACATACGAGCGTATCAATCAGCACATTCTGCGCGCGCTGCTTTGTTACAGCACACCGCATTACGTTGTCATGCCTTGTGTAATGAGCTGGACAGCAAACATCAGCACTACAGGTAGGAAAGTGCAGCTTCGGGAAAGCATGCGACAGAAGAATGTGGTGTAATGCGATTTAAAGGCTTACCCATGCACAGTCATATAGGAATGCCCACTTGCGTATCTATACATGCATGGGCGCATACACGAGCATGCTCACTAATGTATACATGCGTGTGTACAGGCGTTAACCGTTGTTCGTGCATGCGCAATGTCATGTATGTATGTATGTACGAGTCGAGGTGTGAATGTCATCGCTTGTCGCGCAATCCCGTTGTGGAGTGGCTTCCGTGCCTTCAAGTACGAAACGCAGCGCGCTTGCAGGGGAGGGGGTGGCAGACATGAGGGACAGCCCAGACTCCCAGACGCTTGTGCCGCCCCCTGCGAATGAGGACTGGTAGACACATAAACTACAGTATGCACAAATGTGGAGACATACGTGCGCGCGCAATCCCCTGAAGCGGCACGCCCCCAATTAGGGCACATAGGTTTCAACTGTGCTTGCGTATCTACAATCCTATCGTTTACAGTCGTTGGGTGTCTGTCCCTCCCCGGCTGCCCTGTCCGATGCTGCACACTACTTCCTGTTCTCTCAAACATCATCCTGCGTGACTGCGGCACTGACTCCTTGTTGAACGACCTCTTCGTTGTTGTGGTCGCGGTGTCGATCGCCGGCAACAGCCCCCTTCGTCATCCAGCCCTCTCCCCGCCTTCGAATTCTGCGGCGCACACGGCACTGTATGCCACAGGCGCCCGCCTGCTCTTTTCTGCGCTAAGGGCGGTGCGCCCGGGACCGCACGACCCCTCCCCCTGGGCGCTGGCGCGTCCTTCTGTCTTCAGATCCGACGTTACGAAAATAGAGCAACACCACCAACCATCACGACCCGAGCCCTAGGCCCCATCTTTCGGCGGCAGTTTTCGAGCCGGATCGATCTGTGATGGCCCCAGGACCCGACATTGGGCGGAAACGCCCCTTGTGAAAAAGTTGCGACGCCAGGGTCTCGGGGTGAGTCTTCTTGTTGACAGCTCCGACGGCCGACACCCGCCTCCAGAGGTTCGATGTCTTGAGGAGCTACCTGTCTCGATGCCTTCTCGAGACCCTGGATGTCTGGGGTTCTCCCTGGCCTCTGTGGCTTGCCAGGTGCGCGGCAGTGCTGCCGACGTGGGCGCGCGGAGCACGGGCTCTTGCGACAAAAGGCTCCCTCTCGCCTTTGTTTTTTGCCTCCGATTCCTCGAAGGCCCCCAAAAGAAAAGCAGAAGTGAGGCTTTCGGATGTTTTCCCTTCCTGGGGATCCCCAGCGGTTCTCGGAAGCCTTCAGATACTCCCTGCCCCCTGCTCCTTCCCCTCCTGCTCCCTGCTCTAGCTACTGCTGCAAGAGGTAGGATCATGAAGTTGGAGCAAGTCTGCAGCGATCTATAGCCCAATTCCCCAATTACAGTGCTTGCGCGTAGGGGTTCCTCTCCGTGGTCTGAGAAGCTGCGCGGCGGTGCCAGTCTGGCGGCTGTGTGGCCGCCGTCGCAGCCCCGTCGCCACCCCCGTCGCCGCCCCGTCGCTGGGCGGCGGTGCCACTCTGGCGGGTACGCGGCAGCCGTCGCCGCCCTGTCGCCGCTTCGTCGCCGCCCGTCGCCGCCCGCCGTCCAGAAACCGTACTGCAGCCGCACGGCATTGCCACAGCTTTGTGCTCGCACGACATAGCGATCGCACTGCTTTGCACTGCACTGCTTTGCACTGCACTGCTTTGCACTGCGCTGCACCGCTCTGCGTCACTCTGCATTGCTTTTCGCTACCTCGCGCTGCATTGCATTGATGTGCACGTACTTCCCCGAGTTGCTGCGCATTGATTTACAGTGGTGTGCGTTGCTTTGCGTTGCATTGCTTTGCGTTGCATTGCTAGCCTCGCGATGCTTTGCGATTTTTGTTGGGGGGTCTTCTTTCCTTCCACGGAGAGCCCCGGCTTCCTCCGACCATTCATTGGTCAATCACGCCGAGCTATCCCCGCAGGGCCAGCGGATTTTTCAGCCCCCGGTCTACTGGCCCATTTTTCGGCCATGTTCGGCCCTAGACGGCCCACGTCAGCCCCAAGAGCGCCTCACAGGGCCCCAAGACGGTCCAAGCTAAGACAGGGAGGCCCAGGAGGGCCCCAAGACGGCCTGAGAGCGCTCAGCGAGGGCACAGGACGGCCTCAAGGCGGCCAAAGAGGCCCTCAAGACGTTCCACGAGGCCTCCAAAAGGACGCCCCAGAGGCAGAAATCGCCCCATCGTGCATTTCTAGCGCATCTGCATGTTTGTTCTTCACAGCGTCCGCAAAGGCCTAAGTGGCCCCCAGGATCCCCCCCAAGACCGCAATAGAGGCCCCGAGGACGGCCCCAAGACTGCCCCGTAGCCATTTTGGCTCAAGCCATTTTTGTTCAAGCCATTTTGGCTCAAGTCGTTTTGACCCGAGGAATTCTTGGCTCATGCCGTGGTGCCTTGTCTGTTCGAATGTTGGACATCGGTCGAGGGTCTCGCGGAGGCGCTATTACCCTCGAAGCGTCGATCAAGAATTGCGGTCGGACAAAACAATGGAGCGCAGCACTGCAGGTGCTCCGCGAAGGAATTCGATTAGGTGTGCAACTCCACCCAAGCCACTACATGGCGACTGTCGGAGCGTGCAGACAAGGCGGGCAATGGCAACACGCGCTGTCAGTGCTCAGTGAGATGTGGGAGGCGAAGCTGGAGCCCAACGTCATCTACCCCACAATACCGCGGACAGCGCGCGCGAAAAGAGCGAGCGGTGGCATTGAACCGGTCCCCTCTGGGCCAGAGGGGGTGGCCTAGGGGCCCGGGCCGCTCCGGGTGGGCCCTCGGAGCCGCCTCGGTAGCCTTCGGAGACGCCCCGATGGCGCAGGAGACGGCGCAAGACTGCCGAACATGGCCCCCAGACAGCCCAAGAGGCACCCATGACGCCCCAGGACCGCCCCAAGAGACTCCCAGGGAGCGCTTCCGAAGGCCGAAATCGTTGATGTTCTATTGTTCTTCCCAACCATCCTGTGGTGTTGGGTCCTCGTTTTGAAGAAACGGTTCCCGCGTTCCCCCCTCCTCCTCTGCCCATTCCTCCTCACCGCCGTCCGCCTGCGTCCCGCACACCCAGTACAGCGTTTCGTGGCCCCATAGGGAGCTCCACCAAAGGTCCCAGTGCTACCGTCCGCATGCATCCCGCACACCCAGTACAGCTTTTCGTGGCCCTCCTCCCCCTCCTCCCTGCGCTTCACCCACCCAGTGCAACGTTTCGTGGCCCCATAGGGAGCCCCAACCGAAGGTCCCAGTGCTACCGTCCGCATGCGTCCCGCACACCCAGTACAGCGTTTCGTGGCCCCATAGGGAGCTCCACCGAAGGTCCCAGTGCTACCGTCCGCATGCGTCCCGCACACCCAGTACAGCGTTTCGTGGCACTCCTCCCCCTCCTCCCTGCGCTTCACCCACCCAGTGCAGCGCTTCGTGGCCCCATAGGGAGCCCCACCGAAGGTCCCAGTGCTACCGTCCGCATGCGTCCGCACACCCAGTACAGCTTTTCGTGGCCCTCCTCCCCCTCCTCCCTGCGTTACACCCACCTAGTACAGCGTTTCGTGGCCCCAGAGGGAGCCCCACCGAAGATCCCAGTGCTACCGTCCGCCTGCGTCCCGCACGCCCAGTACAGCGCTTCCCGTCCGCATGCGTCCCGCACACCCAGTACAGCGTTGCGTGGCCCTCCTCCCTCTCCTCCCTGCGTTTCACCCACCTAGTACAGCGTTTCGTGGCCCCATAGGGAGCCCCACCGAAGGTCCCAGTGCTACCGTCCGCCTGCGTCCCGCACACCCAGTACAGCGTTTCGTGGCCCCATAGGGAGCTCCACCAAAGGTCCCAGTGCTACCGTCCGCATGCGTCCCGCACACCCAGTACAGCGTTTCGTGGCCCCATGAGCCTCACCGAAGGTCCCAGTGCTACCGTACCGCACGCCCAGTACAGCGTTTCGTGGCCCCATGGGAGCTCCACCGAAGGTCCCAGTGCTACCGTCCGCATGCGTCCCGCACACCCAGTACAGCGTTTCGTGGCCCTCCTGCCCCTCCTCCCTGCGTTTCACCCATCCAGTACAACGTTTCGTGGCCCCATAGGGAGCCCCACCGAAGGTCCCAGTGCTACCGTCCGCATGCGTCCCGCCCATAGATGGAGCCCCTCCGAAGGTCCCAGCGCTACCGTCCGCATGCGTCCCGCACACCCAGTACAGCGTTTCGTGGCCC